AACCAACCGATAAGGAGTTAACATGAGTTCACTACAATTAAAACCTAACCCAACCCCTACGAGAAAGGGTGGTTGACACCAAAAATGTTGGTTCAAGCAACACAAATTTGTGCTTTGATATACGCTTTCACGCGTTCACTGCAAGGAGCTGTGTTTCAGAAATGGTGTCCAACCAAATCAACAACATGAACCAACTAAGCAACGAAAGCAATTCATTAATAGCTGGATAGCAAGCTGCCAGCTGAAAACGTGACACGTAGATCCATCTCAAAAGCACCCACCGCAGTACAGGTCGGCGTAGGTGATTAAACTGTATTAAACTGACAACTTCATGAGTTGCTCGGAAATTTAATACATTTCGAGCATGTCAAAGGTACATACTGGTATTCAAGCATCATAACCATCCAATTTTGCCGGGTCGATCATCCATGTCATCCCATCTCACCCCATCCAGGGACGGACGTTCAGCTGCGTCCACCGTTGTCTGCGCTCATTCCAGACGTGCCAGGACTCCGGATCTGAGGGCAGCTGAGGGCCATCCTTGTGCCGAAAAACACCATGAAATCTTCTGGACCTTCAATTTGGGCGAAAAATGGTGCCAATTTTTCGCCAATAGCAATCCAAATCTGATTTTTTTGGCATCATTGGAATCTCTTCCAAGATTTTAGAACATCAAGACTCACTCAACCAATCATCACCGGTTTTTGGAACACCTGAGATCTCTGCCGGAAAGACAACCCAAACTGGATCGGAAGCACCAAAAAATGGGAGCTACTCCAGTTCTGCCCAAGGCGGTCCTGCTGCACCTGCTTTTACAGGTAGCACCGGTTCCAATTGAAGGCGTTGGCTTTTGCATCCACACCCCCAAAGCACCAATGTCCAATCCTCAGACCATTGCGATGAAATGTTCACGTGAAACCATCATTTTGGGGTGAGGGTTTTAACCCAAACCCAAGCTGATGGTACGTTCCGCTTTTAGCTGTACACTGGTGGAGTGGTCAAGTTGATGTTACTAAGGGTATTGAGTTGCGCTGCTCGAGAGAACCCTGCAAGTTGCAAGTTTCGAAACGTTGGATGGATCCGTCAGCAACACCGGAGCAAATTGTCAGCCAGACCTACCAGGGCCCCATCTTCTGTGAAATCCACGCGCGTTTCGAAATGAGTTGGACGCAGCGAAGGCGAGCAATCATGAACGCACATTTTCTTGCAACAAAGAAAACACAATAAACAGCACGTTCCATCACAGGATGATACATTAATCAAAATTGTTTCCCATCTCAAACCACGACCATGTCCACCCGGCCCTGCTCCCAGTTTGGCAATACAATTGAAGCAAAGAAGAGAAAATTCATTCACCGAGCCGGACAAAACAACACTTTCCCACTTTTCACAAGCAAAATGCAGCAGCCGGACGCATCTGCTTCTGAAAAGTCTTGCGCCGGCATCAGGGAATACAGCAGTAGCAAGGTTGGCCCTTCACACCAACGGGCTCCGTCCTCCATGTGCAAGAGCCTGGGTGTTGCACAAGCACTAGATGCTGTCTCAATGTTGGGTTGCTAAAATCTGTTATTGCCAAAACGTTGACAAAGTCAAGCTACAAAATGGAAGGGCCCAGCAGGAATACTCCAATAATTCTGAACAAGATTTCACATGAAATGTCAAATTTATGTCCAGGAAAGGTTAAATATATTTTAAAAAAATATATCCCGGCAAGAGACCCCAAACAGTGTGTAGTTAGGATTGTAAAGGGAAAGGTGGAAAGGACCCAAAATCATCAGTGGCTGCAAGCTAGCAGGGCAAGAGCGACACTAGTAGTGAAAGCATGGTGTTCATTCAGGGTGGCCTTTGGAAGAAGAGATACCAGGTAAGATTCTGCAAGTTCCCTTGTGAAGATCTCTGTAGAAGATCGTGCGCAAGATCTCCTTGACAGGTTCTCTGTAGAAGCTGCTGTGCAAGATCCCTGTGTAAGGCTATCTGTAGAAGGTGTCTAGAGGAGATCTCCACAGAAGATCTTTGTAAGGGATCTCAAAGTAAGATCTCTGTTCAAGCTATCTATAAATGATCTCCAAGCAAGACCGCTGCTCTCTTCACAAGGTCTCTGTACAAGATCTCCATAAGACGTTTCCTGGAAAGATCTCTGTACAAGATCTCTATAAGAGCTCTGTTGGCAAGATCTCTGTGAGAGACCTCTTGGCAAGATCCCTGCACAGATCTCTATAAGAGGTCGCTTGGCAAGACCTCTGGACAAGATATCTAACATAGATCTCTTGGCAAGATCTCTCTATGAGATCTCTTTACAAGCTCTCTATCAAAGCCGTCTTGGCAAGATTTATGTAACGAGACCTCTTGGCAAAATCTCTGCAACAGATCTCTATGCAATGTCTCTGTACAAGGTCTCCATAAGAGGTGTCCTGCCTGGCAAGATTTCTGTGATACCTATAAGAGGTCTCTTGGCAAGATCTCTGAAAGGGGCCTCTTGGAAAGATCTCAACAGATCTCTATGCAATGTCTCTGCACAAGATCTCTGAATGAAATCTCTGAACAAGCTCTCTAGAAGAGTTCTCTTGGCAAGATTTATGCAAGAGGCCTCTTGGCAAGATCTCAACAGATCTCTATGCAATTTCTCTGTACAAGATCTCCATAAGAGGTGTCCTGGCAAGATCTCTGTACAAGATCTCTATAAGAGGTCTCTTGGCAAGACTCTTGAAGAGATCTCTCTATGAGAGATATGCACAGAAGATCTCTGTGTGGGATCTAAGATCCCTGAGCAAGATCGCTGCTCTCTTCACCATGTCTCTGTACAAGATCTCTAGAAGAGGTCTCCTGGCAAGAACGCTGCACAAGATCTCTATAAGACCTCTGTTGGCAAGATCTATGTACGAGGTCTCTTGGCAAGATCTCTGAACAAGATCTCCGTAAGAGGTCTGTTGGCATGATCTCTGTACAAGCTCCCTAAAAGAGGTCTCTTGGCAAGAACTCTGTATGAGTTTTCTCGTTTTGTGCGAGCCTGCGCAGTCGAAATGCACATGGACATGTCACAAGAGCCATTTCATGCGGAAATTTACAGGGAAACCGCCAGACGCCCCAGCCGGGGCCCCTGTTTCGTACGGGCCTGCGCAGTCGAAATGCACATGGACATGTCACAAAAGCTATTTTATGCGGAAATTTACAGGGAAAATTGCAAAACCCCCCGGATACCACCTCGAAGGAACACCGGGCCTTAACACTTACCATAAGAACCCCTCAGTGCGGCAGTGTGGCCACACTGTTTGGGGAAAATAGCACCCAACTTCCCGGAAAAGTACTCAAAATGCCCTCCTTGTCAAGTGTCCGGGTCCAGCACCTCCATTTCTTTTAAAAAAATTGCTTGGCTTGCAGACGGGCGAAGAAATACTGCCATGGTTTCGGAGCTGAACAAAGGAATCAGCTAACTGCTGCCAAAACCTGGGTCTTTGAAATCCATCAGCTATGATGCCAACGGTTGAAACGAAGAAATCAGGGACACAATCCTCTCCATTGTTTTGACAATGTGGCAATATGTGATGTTCATTGTGGTGATAACTCAGTTGCCATTGACCAATTGAAAATAACTCACCCGACTTGCCGTGATGTTGTGATCTTCAGCTCGGCATGTAAGCCGGAAGGCGCTGCCAAAGTTTCGCCAACGTGTCAGCTATGCTGGAATGCCTAAATAATTGAGCAATAGTGCGTGAAACAAAGGTTTTCTCAACCCCTTGTGAATTCTTCAAGACCCTATCACCATTTCAACTGGTATGGATGGGTCAAAATGTGTCAAGATGATTTACGCAAAACATGGATAGTTGAACATGATTTTGTGGGTGAAAGGCTGGGATAGTTGATCATTCCATTGGCCAAATGGGTTTGTGGGGCGATGTAGAGTGTGCTAATCATATGAACCATAGTCACAAAGGATCCAAGAACCATTCCAAACGTCAGACAGAAAAATGATCAGAACTCACAGCCGCTCACAGCAACTTGGAAGGGTTGAGCCCTTTACCCGTCCCATCTTCAAATCCTCCCCCTTTCCACGTCCTTTTCAACTTGCAATTTCCCGCGAGATATCCCACGCTGCGCTTGCTTTCTTCACAAGCTCAGTATTTCGTTGGTCATACGAAGGCACCTGACAAATGCACGGCACTGGGCGACTGATACGGAGGTGTCATCAGGCCTGTGGCAAGGTTGCAGGCTTGGCAAGGACCAGAACCCCCTTTGAAACCCTCCCATGGCATTGGCCAGTGCATGGCTGCACCCGTGTCAGAGGAATGCCCAAGGCCCCATGGGCTACCTTTGGAACCCGGCAGTCTTGGCACATCAGCCTAAGAGCTTCATGGTGGATGTGATAGCACAAGTGGCGCATCTGGCGCATCCTCTCTGATGCTCGCTGTGCCGGCCTTCACGTGAAATACGGGCTGCCGCGCTTGTTTCGGTGCAAGGCGAATTATCATATCGTGGGGAAGGAAAAATATGCTGAAAATGCCTAAGAATACTGAGGCAGTCTTTTTCAGCACCAAGATCACGGAATATATTGCCTTTTTTTCTCCCAATGCAAAAGCGCTGCTCCAAAAACTTGTGGCAACCAGACCAAATTGGCCATTGAGAGGTTTATATCATCAAACTTCTTTGTCTTGTAAGAACATGGGACAACCTTGATGATTCACTGCGGATTGTTTTTCGTCGGTAGAAAACACAAAGCCTAGACAAAATAACAACAAAGGGAGTTTCTCGTGCAGAAGTGCAGCAGGGTGTAGAAGAGTGTGCAGAGCTAGTTGCTGCCACAGCTCTCTTGCCTTCTGAACCCCAACACGAAATGCTTTCAAACAGCACCAGCCATAGCTGTAAACTTTGCTGCGTTGCGCTTCTCTGCTCATAACTTTCTCTCGGCATGGGCGGCAAATGCACAAGGATGCTGACTGCAAGAACATGCGCCACACAGCGCAACCGAAGGACAGAGATTCCGCGTTTTGCTGGCAAAACCAGCCAAGAATCTCCCAACCGACGCTTGCCCAAGTCCGACATCAAGAGCTGCACGTTTAGCTTTGGCAAAGCAGCCAGAAGGTGTCCGAAAATTTTGGCACCCCCAAGTCATCCAAAATTAGACCATTTTAGTATTGAAACCCATGGTTTCGGAGATCCAGTTTAAGAAACCCCCATGTCCCCTGCAAGGGATGGGTCACATCAAGAGCTACACCAGCGATAAGAATTGGAAGCTAACACGCTTTTCGCGGATTGCAAACCTTTATCCATGGATCCCAAACCTGTCACCAGGCAGGAGTTCTGGTTTGAAAAACCATCCGAGGTTTGTTGGATAAGGTTGACATCTGATCTAGCGGCCGCATTTAGACTCAGACTCCGTCCAAAGTCCAGTGCGCCTTGCCAAAGCTCGCTGGTGTTGAAGCGCCACACCCCTCCGTTGCTCTCGCCTGCCTTCAAGCCTGTAAACAGGCAGTGTGCACTTTTGACAGCACTTGTGAAAGCTCTACGGGCCATCGCTTGTTGAATGAACATGCTGTCTTTCTGTCGGGTGTCTTGTCATGCAGCCCTCACCTGTTTCACCAGCCCAGAAATAATTTGCTGTACCTTCTGTAGCACGTCAAGTGCAGCTGCCCATCATCAGGAGTCAGGGATATCTGCTGAACAGTTCCAAAATGTGCAGAAGTGCAGCAGGGTGTAGAAGAGTGTGCAGAGCTAATTGCTGCCACAGCTCTCTTGCCTTCTGAACCCCAACACAAAATGCTTTCAAACAGCACCAGCCATAGCTGTAAACTTTGCTGCGTTGCGGTTCTCTGCAATGCACTTCTGTGGGTGTCTCAAAGCACGGCCTTTCGTGCATGATCAGCTTGCAAAGCGTTGCTGGCTTCGGTAGACGCTCAGAGAGCAAGCCTCCTCTGTTCTCGCCTGCTCTCAAGGGCATAGAATGAAAATGGCACGCTATGAAAATTGACTGCACCTAAGATGGTTTACTGCCTAACACTCGCTGAAAGACTTACATGCTGTCTTTCTGCCATTGGGCCAATATGTCGGGTATCTTCGAAGAGACGGAAAATCAGCATAGGATTCCTCAAGAAAAGCTACAATCCAACAGAAATGCACTGTACCTATCTGACCTATCTCCTAGCGCTTAGAGAGAGCTTGCCGGCCTCAAGTGATTTTACTATATTTTACTCATTTCTCACCCAAAGCACATGGGCACATTGATGAGTGGGAGCAATCTTGGTGCCATCCGGTGTCTTGTCACATGCAGCCCTCGCCTGTTTCACCAGCCCAGAAATAATTTGCTGTACCTTCTGTAGCACGTCAAGTGCAGCTGCCCATCATCAGGAGTCAGGGATATCTGCTGAACAGTTCGAAAATGTTTTTCTGCACGGTCTGCCCTCTGGAAAGGACCAGAAGTGTATTGTTGCCTGCACTTGCCTTTCAAAGACCATCAACTCGGTGAACTGAACAGACCCTTCAAACAACATTCACTGAAAGCCAAACTCTGCATGAACAATGCAAGACCCCGTACCTGAATACTCATTCCAAGAATCAACAAGGTGTGTGTGGCTACGGACACCTTGATGATTCACGCGGATTGTTTTTCTTCGGTAGAAAGCACAAAGCCTAGACAAAATAACACCAAAGGGAGTTTCTCGTGCAGAAGTGCAGCAGGGTGTAGAAGAGTGTGCAGAGCTAGTTGCTGCCACAGCTCTCTTGCCTTCTGAACCCCAACACAAAATGCTTTCAAACAGCACCAGCCATAGCTGTAAACTTTGCTGCGTTGCGCTTCTCTGCAATGCACTTTTATGGGCGTCTGCAAAAACTGGCCTTTCGTGCATGATCAGCTTGCAAAGTGCTGCTGGCTTCGGTAGACCTCTGTTCTCGCCTGCTCTTAAGGGCATAGAATGAAAATGGCACGCTACGCATTTTACTGCACCTGCGATGGTTTGTCTTTCTGTCATCGGGCCAATATGTCGGGTACCTTCGAAGGAACGGAAAATCAGCATAGGATTCCTCAAGAAAAGCTACAATCCAGCAGAAATGCACTGTACCTATCTGACCCATCTCCTAGCGCTTAGCGAGAGCTTGCCGGCCTCAAGTGATTTTACTATATTTTACTCATTTCTCACCCAAAGCACATGGGCACATTGATGGGCGGGTGGCTCTGAGCAATCTTCATGCCATCCAGTGTCTTGTCACGCAGCCCTCGCCTGTTTCACCAGCCCAGAAACGATTGCCTGTGCCTTCTGTAGCACGTCAATCGCAGGTGCCCATCACGAGCCAGGAATATCTGGAGTTCAATCATGTTGGTTGGGCAAGTTCTGCCCTCTGGGAAGAGGCAAAAGTGTATTGTTGTCGGCACTTGCCGCTCAAGGATTATCAAGTCGGCGAAGCGAGACTCTTCACATAGCACTGACTGGAAGCCAGAATCTGCGTGAACAGTGCAAGATCTTGCCTCAATAGTCGCTTCACGAATCAATGTGTTCTTCAGTGGAGGACCCAAAGCCAAGAATGACACCAAAGGGAGTTTCTTGTGCAGAAGTGCAGCAGGGTGTAGAAGAGTGTGCAGCGCTAATTGCTGCCACAGCTCTCTTGCCTTCTGAACCCCAACACAAAATGCTTTCAAACAGCATCAGCCATAGATGTAAACTTTGCTGCGTTGCGCTTCTCTGCAATGCACTTCTGTGGGTGTCTCATATCAGGGCCTTTCGTGCATGATCGGCTTGCAAAGGGCTGCTGGCTTCGGTTAAGGGCATAGAATGAAAATGGCACGCTACGCATTTTCATCTGCGATGGTTTACTGCCTAACACTCGCTGAAAGACTTACATGCTGTCTTTCTGCCATTGGGCCAATATGTCGGGTATCTTCGAAGAGACGGAAAATCAGCATAGGATTCCTCAAGAAAAGCTACAATCCAACAGAAATGCACTGTACCTATCTGACCTATCTCCTAGCGCTTAGCGAGAGCTTGCCGGCCTCACGTGTTTTTACTTATTTCTCACCCAAAGCACATGGGCACATTGATGGGTGGGTGGCTCTGAGCAATCTTCATGCCATCCAGTGTCTTGTCACGCAGCCCTCGCCTGCTTCACCAGCCCAGATATGATTGCCTGTGCCTTCTGTAGCACGTCAATGGCAGGTGCCCATCACGAGCCAGGAATATCTGCAGTTCAATCATGTTGGTTGGGCAAGTTCTGCCCTCACGGAAGAGGCAAAAGTGTATTGTTGCCGGCACTTGCCGCTCAAGGATTATCAAGTCGGCGAAGCGAGACTCTTCACATAGCACTGACTGGAAGCCAGAATCTGCGTGAACAGTGCAAGATCTTGCCTCAATACTCACTTCACGAATCAATGTGTTCTTCAGTGGAGGACCCAAAGCCAAGAATGACACCAAAGGGAGTTTCTTGTGCAGAAGTGCAGCAGGGTGTAGAAGAGTGTGCAGCGCTAATTGCTGCCACAGCTCTCTTGCCTTCTGAACCCAACACAAAATGCTTTCAAACAGCACCAGCCATAGCTGTAAACTTTGCTACGTTGCGCTTCTCTGCAATGCACTTCTGTGGGTGTCTCAAAGCAGGGCCTTTCGTGCATGATCGCCTTGCAAAGTGTTGCTGGCTTCGGTAGATGCTCAGAGAGCGAGCCTCGTCTGTTCTCGCCTGCTCTCAAGGGCATAGAATGAAAATGGCACGCTGTGCATTTTACTGCACCTGCGATGGTTTACTGCCTAACACTCGCTGAAAGACTTACATGCTGTCTTTCTGCCATTGGGCCAATATGTCGGGTATCTTCGAAGAGACGGAAAATCAGCACTCAAGAAAAGCTACAATGCAACAGAAATGCACTGTACCTATCTGACCTATCTCCTAGCGCTTAGAGAGAGCTTGCCGGCCTCAAGTGATTTTACTATATTTTACTCATTTCTCACCCAAAGCACATGGGCACATTGATGAGTGGGAGCAATCTTGGTGCCATCCGGTGTCTTGTCACGCAGCCCTCGCCTGTTTCACCAGCCCAGAAACGATTGCCTGTGCCTTCTGTAGCACGTCAATCGCAGGTGCCCATCACGAGCCAGGAATATCTGGAGTTCAATCATGTTGGTTGGGCAAGTTCTGCCCTCTGGGAAGAGGCAAAAGTGTATTGTTGCCGGCACTTGCCGCTCAAGGATTATCAAGTCGGCGAAGCGAGACTCTTCACATAGCACTGACTGGAAGCCAGAATCTGCGTGAACAGTGCAAGATCTTGCCTCAATACTCGCTTCACGAATCAATGTGTTCTTCAGTGGAGGACCCAAAGCCAAGAATGACACCAAAGGGAGTTTCTTGTGCAGAAGTGCAGCAGGGTGTAGAAGAGTGTGCAGCGCTAATTGCTGCCACAGCTCTCTTGCCTTCTGAACCCCAACACAAAATGCTTTCAAACAGCACCAGCCATAGATGTAAACTTTGCTGCGTTGCGCTTCTCTGCAATGCACTTCTGTGGGTGTCTGCAAAACATAGCCTTTCGTGCATGATCGGCTTGCAAAGGGCTGCTGGCTTCGGTTAAGGGCATAGAATGAAAATGGCACACTACGCATTTTACTGCATCTGCAATGGTTTGTCTTTCTGCCATCGGGCCAATATGTCGGGTATCTTCGAAGAGACGGAAAATCAGCATAGGATTCCTCAAGAAAAGCTACAATCCAACAGAAATGCACTGTACCTATCTGACCTATCTCCTAGCGCTTAGCGAGAGCTTGCCGGCCTCAAGTGATTTTACTATATTTTACTCATTTCTCACCCAAAGCACATGGGCACATTGATGGGCGGGTGGCTCTGAGCAATCTTCATGCCATCCAGTGTACAAAGCTTGAGGCGTGCTCGTTGAAGCAAAGCAGCTCTGGGTGGCACAATCGGCTTTGAAAATCAATTTTCAGGGCGCCGGGTTAACATCGCTGAACATACAATATCATCAGCTGCTGGCACGTCGAACACTACAATAGCAAAAATCTTGGGGGCGTATGGGTTCAGGAATATACTGCTTTGGTGCCTCCAGCAACTGTTCGAAGGACCCACGTGAAGACTCTTCCTCAGTATTCGCCGGAGGTACAGCGGCGCCACTTCATGGAGTCATGGAGGCATCTGAAGGTCTTCGGAATTCACAGAAGGGCGAAGTAGCATGGCTTGAACATAAGGGCTATGCTTACACTGAAGTGGAAGTAGACATCTCCAAGTGGCTTTAGTAGGTGATGTCCGCCTGAGATTCTAGTTGATCCATTGTTGCTCCAGGAGAGTTGGCAAAGCCACTTGCTTCTGGGAGGGGACTGCGCTGGTCCCTCACCGGTTTCTGCCAAAGTTGCACAGCAAAATGAATCAATCCGATGACTTGGTGACATGGACTTGCCATTCGACCAACTAATTCAGGTGAGCCATGTTCTAAATGTCTTACATCTTGGCACCAAATATAAGGAAATGCTTACGCCATTGCTTACGTTTTGCTTACGCGCGCACAGGTTTTGCTTACGCGCATATCTTTTCTTATGTTGAGCTTACGCTGGCTTACGCGCACCACAGTTTTGCTTACGCCGCGCCCTTACAAGGGGCCCCTTGCTTAACATGAACACAAGGGTTTAGAACGTGGCTCAGGTGAAACTGCAGAATTCTCATGTTCTTGTGTCACCA